CCAGAAAAGGAGACCTTTGAAAGCTGCACAGGCTGCTACTGCTTGAGGTGATTAATCCTTCCAAGAGACTCTGGAAGCCAGCTGTAATTAGATATATTTTTTTCTATTACTTAAATTGAAACAACTAATTAAATCCTTAATTAATGTTTTTAAAATACCTCCAGATAAGGATTGCCAGACAAGTTAGCCTAAGTGCTAAATATGACAGTGAAGTCCCAGGGAGCAGCTTGCTTCTGTGTCGACTCTAGAATATGCAAGAAGGCTCACGCTGCGAGGAAAACTCATTTCAACCGTAATTTGCAAAATGTTTAAAATATCAAAGTTCTCTTCCCCTACTCCCACCCCTGGTTTTTCCCCCAAGATGTCTCCCTTGGCCTCTGTTAAAACTTTCATTCTTGATTTATTATCCCCCTCCATGAAGTCCTCGGCTGCTTTTTGGGGAGGACGCTTGTTGAGAAGCGTGGTTGCTCATTTCTGGGCCATCTGCACAATATCTAGCTTAGCAAGTGCAGGCTACAAGCAGTAATGAAACGTCTAGTGTGGGTGTGCGTTTTCATCTTTAAAGCCTTGGAAAGTATAAAAGAACTGGAAGAAAAGACTGACAAAACTATGCTGAGAAGGCAGCCGAGACAACATTGAAAAGCAAAACCACACCGGTTAGTTTCAAGTCTGTTTAGACTCCTGGGGGGCCCACATTTGCAGAACAAAACTGAGCTCCCTGGGGTCTATATAGCCCTGACCTTTTGGAAACAGATCACTAGACCTGTCTCCTGAGGTACTCCTGGGTAGATTCGAACCAAGAGTCTTTCAGTTAGTAGTCAAGGTGCTTAACTCTACCACCTGGGGACTCCAGGCCAACATTTGTTGCTCTGTTGTTGTTAAAGTGCCATTGAGTTAGTTCCCACTCAAGCGACCCTGTATAAGGCTTCCAACAGAACATTCTGCAAAACATCTACCTGACTTCCATCGTCCAAGTATCTGCCCATTTGAAAAAGCAGCAAGGGGCAGAGAGTCTTTGGGGAGGCGTTTCCTAATTTCACACTAGGTTTCTGTCCGCCTCTCCTCCTCACTCTACATCAAGGAGGATGGTGCTTGCTGTCAGAAGGCATGAATGGAGGAGTGGAAAGGATTCAAACAAAGCAGATCGTTTAGTGGTAAAATAAGGAGGTTTTTTCTTAAATTCCTAGGAAACCCTCAGAAGTTTGCTTGTAAGTTCTTGTTATTCTAAAAGAGTGGGGAGAATTTTTATTAGGTCATTATCTGGCTGGTAATATCTCTTAGATCCCAGCATAGAGGATATTTCACATCTGGGATTTTTTGAATGTCTTTCTTTTTTTTTTTTTAATTACACAGATGTTCACATCTGCAGACCCATCCCTGTGTGGAGTTGTTTTCCTCTCCCTTGCTAAGTTTCTTGGCTTACCCTGTAAATGAATCTGTAATGGTCTAACCCAATTAATAACAGATGTGTACTTGCTCTGGACTGCTTTTTTTTTTTTTTTTTTAACCCGCTTGCTAGTCATGTTTGGAAACATTTATTAGTGTTTATATGAATGAATTCAAAGAATATGTTAGGTAAAATGAATTTATTTATGTTAGTGAACATATCACCACATTATAGAATCATTTCAAACAAAAAACAAACCCACTGCATTGTCTCGATTCTGACTCAGAGTGACCTTGTATACGGTTTCTGACATTGTAAAACTTTACCAGAGAAGACAGCCTCATCTTTCTCCCACACAGCGGCTGGTGGATTTGAACCAGCAATCTTTTGGTAAGCAGCCCTGTGCTTAAACCACTATGCCACTAGGGCTCCTTATAGAATCATTTGTTGTTGTTGTTGTTAGGTGCCATCGAGTCGGTACCAACTCATAGCGACCTTATGCACAGCCGAATGAAATACTGTCTGATCCTGGGCCAACTTCACTACTGTTGCCACGCTTGAGTCCATTGATGTTGCTACTTGACCAATCGGTCTTGTCAGGGGTCTTCCTCTTTTTCTCTGACCCTCCACCTTACCAGACATAATATCCTTCTCCAGCGACTGGTCCCTCCTGACAATATGTCCGAAGTATGAGAGACAAAGTTTGGCCATCCTGGCCTCCAAGGAGCACTCTGGCTGCACTGCAATATATAAGATAAAATGTTGTTGTTGGAAAGCTAGAATCCAAAGAAAATATTGCAGATTTCATTTGATAATGAAGTCCTGGTGTGGCGCTGTAAGATAAGCATTTGACCTTAAGGTCAGCTTAAACTGCAAGATCACCTGTTCAAACTCACCAGCCACTTCTCGGAAATCCTATACAATGTAGCTATGAGTCAGAACTGACTTGATGGCACTTAACAACAACAATATGAGAGGTCTTCAAAAAGTTCGTGGGAAAATGGAATGAAAAGATAATGGCATTTTCTCACAAACATTTTGAAGCTCCCTTGTATGTTCTTGGTTAAATCCGGAAACCGAGCTGTGTTTAAATCCGCAACCTCAGAAATGTATAGAATATAATTAACTACTTTTAAAAGAAAGAAAGAAAAGATAAAAGGTAATGCAAATTTTCAACCCTGGCTGTGCCTTAGTAAACTTGAGGGGCTTGTTAAAAAAGTCAATTCCTGCCTTAAACACTGTGGTCCTTTAATATCTCTATCTATATGGAATCAATTCACAGCCCAAATCCACTGCCGTAGAGGGAACTCTGACTCACAGTGACGCTATATGACAGAATTGACATGTTACTTAGGGTTTCTGAGATTGTAAGTTCCTTACAAAAGCAGACAGCTTCATCTTTCTCCTGAAAAGCGGCCAGTGGATTTGAACCGCATACCTTATGACTAGCAGAGCAACACTTAACCCACTGTGCCACCAAGGCTCCTCAAATTGACAACAGCAACTAGAAAGATTAGATAGGAATTTTAGAAGGCAGTGCATTTATGTAAATGCAGGGTAAAC